TCTTGAGTAGAGCCAAGCAAGAACTTTTCAATGAGGTTTTTTTTTTTAATTGGAAATTATAATTTACTTAAAGGAAAACTTTTTGTAGGAACATATAACTGCCAGTGAAACTTGTGAGGAATAAGGATTCTTAGATCCACAGTATCACTTCTGGTGAGAACAAGACAGTCCAGTTCAGACAGCCAACATACAGCTGGTATGACATTTGCTTGAAATGCTAAAAAATCATGTGTAGGTCCTGTCCTCAACTGGTCCAAGCAGCAAATTTAGCTACTCTGTCCAAAAGGTGTTGAGGTCCTGCTATTGTTGGAGGACCCTCTCCTAGTTTTTCACATACCTGGGCCACTGCAAGTCCCTCAGCAGAGAGGCAGAGCCCAGGTTTGCACAAGCTGTGCGTGCCCTGTCTCTGTCTCACTGATACCTGTCTAGTTACAACATGGATCAATCTCATGTTGTCACTTCTGAAATGCAAAAGCAATAAAAAAATATGGCTATCAGAAAACCAGCCTCTACATCAATCAAGCAACTACAAGGCAAACTGCAAGTCTCCACTGAAAGCAGCCGGAGTGGCCACGCCAGGCAAAGTGAGCACCTAGTCCAGGCTCACAGGGACACAGTGTAATACTGTCAATCTAAGCACCTTTCAGTTAAGGTTAACTAAAATCTAGAACATGACTTTGCATAGCTCTGATTTAAAACTGGGACATAACATGTGTTAGTATTTTTGCAGTATGTTTTTCTTAATTCGAGCCAATTCAAGATGTTGAACAATCTCAGAGATTGCTATGCATCTCACAGGGAATTTTATAGATCATAACTCCCATGTATGAGCACATATTGTCAAAGTACTGATAAAGATTCAACACAATTCAAGAATTTAGACTGTCCTATGTATTCAGTTCCTTAAGTCAGTGCTAAAATAAAATCCTTTCCGTTTGGTGCCAGGATTTCAGAGTAAGTTGCACGTTAATATGAATTTTAACTCTAGATTTTACTTTACTCACAATTCATTTTGACACTAAAATCCCAAGGAGTGTACCAATATAGTACAAGAGTATACATTCTGCGAACAATAAAAAATACTGAGAAATGGTATTAGGTTCACACATACTCCTCAGCTAGGGAAAACAACACACCCAGTGCCACCTTTTTTCTTTATACTAGTCCTTTGAAAAGTGTGAGAATGAATCTGCAATATAATACTTAAATTTCTCAGACTGAAAGAGATGCAGAAATTTTTTTTAATGCTTTGACAACACAGATTATGGAAAAGCTTGCAAGTATCTCAGTCAGGGAAAGGGGAATATCATGATTTTTTTTTGGCACAGGAATATATGCAATTTTTTAATTGTGTCTGAATTACTACTACCAAAAGAGTCTTTCTTTATTGCGCCTAGTTGCTTCAAACAAATGGCCAAAGCCCCCTGACTTTTACCCAATGCATGTGAAACCCCAGCAGCACTGTCATGGATTTTGACCCATTTTTCCCATTATGTTTAGTCAGTGATTTGGCAGGCAGATCTTTGCAGACACAGTAAAGACTGCAGCCATCTTCCTGTTGAATGGGAGCCCTATTATACATGCCTGAAGGGATTAAAAGGGCTGGGTGGACAGTACATTAAGCTATAATGATGGTCTACATCTCTTGTGGTCTCTAGGCACATGGTAAATGTTCTGCATCTATACAGTTATCAGAAGCCTGCAGAACAGGTTTCTAAACGCTCCTGAACATAATATCCAGGGTTAACTGACTATGGAACTTTTGTTTTGTTTTGGTTTTTTTTGCCTTTTGTCAGAGGGCCTCCTGCTGAGAAACGAAAGGGTGGAGAAATTTCCTCGGGTTTGACAGCTTTGCTGCCCCAATCACTTAGACCGTGACTCAGTATGTTTGTGCAGGTATGCATCCATTCAACCATGGGCAAGAAAGCAAAAGGAGATGTGAACCTGCAGGCCACTCTGACTGCCACTGTAAAGGTTATACTGCAGTGACCGTATGGGAAAGACATTAAGACCAAATGTGTGATGACTGTGTAATCCATGGGATAGAGCAAAGAGAGTGGGCAGAGGGGACAAAAAAAGGAGCAACCTAGGCTGGGCCACTCATTCATGCTTTAACCTGGAGTAAATTTTGTGTCTTAAGTTCTATTAGTGCTGTGAGCAATTTGTTTTCTAAACACCTGAGATGAACTGTCCATGCTCTGAGGTGCCTGTATCTACAGCAAGGACCATAGAGGTTTCCCTCAGAAACCAGAGAATTTTCACGTGAAATTAGGTCAGAAAACATTGAAGCATTAATGATTAATAACATGACTACACTTGATAATCTTTTTTGTGAATTCTTCTTCCTCTTTTTTTCTTTTCCAAAGTCACATTTTTCTGGACAGCTCCCTGTTGCTGCCATCACCAAGGAAAGGACAACACACAGAACCATTTGAGATTTTGTAGCTAAAGAACGCAGCAGTTTAGACACAAATCTCTGCTATGGTTGATGTTCCTCCTCCCCTCTTTCCAGAAAAATCACTCCAGACAAGAGGTGTTATTCTTCAGCTTGATCAACTTTTACAGACCAATTCTTTGAGTGCTGCACAGCAGCTCCACCAGTGCAACAGACAGGATGACACTGGGACATTAATGTTGCTCAGGGGAATGATGAAGATCACATAAACTGACACTTTTTCTGGAGGAAGACATACAGAACCAAGACTTCCATGTGTGAGATTTAATTCAAACCATGTGCATATCTCATTACAGGCACATGAATCTTTTATGACCAGTTATGGACAAAAATAAGAATTTTAGGCCTTGATACTTAATTTACTTTGAGATTAACACTTCCTACATTATTCAAGTACAAGATTCTGAAGCTCTACTAACCTCTGGTTCACTACTTCACTTGTACTTGATAGCTCGGCTCACTTACACATTTTTGAATTGTGTTACTATTTAATGGTTCCCAGGACAGTCTGTTTGAGTGTGCTGTATTCCCCTCTTGGTTTAAGGCCTGTTTCAAAGCTCACCAAAGCCTCTGGTTGTCTTTGGATCAAGCCATTAGCCTATAATACTTTTATAACACAACCATTTCCCTTATAGGAAAGCCCTGAGGAATTTAATACTGATGAAACAAATTAAGAACTTAAAAAAAAAAAAAAACCATTCTAGAGAAGTTTCTCAAAGAGCCTGTTGTAACTTAATAGAAAACGTGATTCATTCATTCAAAAAAATATTCCTGTTTGTATCATTCTTTACATGTGTACAAAGGAAACAGCCAACAGAAGTTTGTCATTTTGTACCTTTAAGGTCTTCCAAAGCAGACAATCCTCTGAGTTTCCATTCTCCTGTTTTCCTCTCTTCCTAGTCCCTTTTGTAGGTTGCTGCTCACAAGTGCCCTGTCTTGGCCTAACTTGGCTGTCACGGCCAACGGGAACAGCTCAGCCACTGGTGAGTGGTTTTGATAAAATCTTTCTGGCTCCATTCCCTGACCCCACTTCCTCCCCACACAAGCCGCTCTAGAGATGGCAGCTTCTCCCTTTATGGCAGCCCACTGGCAAGAGCTCACAGGCACCAGGTAGTAGGGCTGCTCCCACCCCTTGGTCCATCCCCATCTGCTCTCATGCAGCATATCCCAACCCCACACCCTCTAAACTTGCACAGGAGACAGCAGATGAAGGCATCTACTTCAGAGGTTCTATGCTAGGACAAAGTCAGCCCATTAAAGGAATTCTCTATATGCATACTGCCCCTACCCAATGCTAAGCATGACCACATAGCAGATCTATGCACTGTAAGTTTATGTTTCCTGATCCCGCCTAATTCTTTCTATTTTCTGCAGGCACTAGGTTTGAGCTTACACATGTATACCTCAGACTGCCTCGTTCATTACGTTCCCTGGGAAAAGTAACGGCTTCAATTACCTTGTACAACATGGGTCTGAATAAATCCCTGCTTGGAAACATGTGCTTGGTTTTCAGAGGGTGCTGTTAGAAGTGTTAGCAGCATTCCAAGTGCTGCAGTAGACTTCCACACCACAAACACCATTTTATATCCTTTACAACTGTGCACATCTAACAGCGAACAATAAATCTATCTTACTAATTACACATTCAGCTTGTTATAACAATCGTAAAACAAGTACAGCTGGTAAAGCCATGAAATGATGTCAAATCATATTTCTGCTTTCTAGAGAGAAGCAGGGTTATTTTCCAGTCTCCTGATGAAGCTGACTGTTCAAAGCCATGTGTGGAAACAGCTGCCAACTAGGTCATCCACCTTTAATTAGGTAATGATATTGTCTTTTTTCCTACCCGTTTAAAAGTGTTTGATATTCTGTAATTCAAAGTGACTTAAGTGTTTATCATAAAAAGCTGCCTTAGGAAGAAATTGAAGCACATGGTACTAAATCCAAGAGCAAGCATTTTCTCCTTAGCAGCCAAGTGCAGTCTGTTCAGCCATAGAGAATTACCTAAAAAATGGAATTACCTGTGTTTCAAAGGTGGTATCTAAGTATGGATAGTTAAAGGTATGGTTTCTAAAACCCTACAAAAATGTGAGCTTCAACAGCCATGTGGGAAGAAGAGCCAGTATTCTTCATGGCAACCTAGACTGACCAACACAAAATCTTTCTTAAAAAGTTGTCTGAGATGTGTAAGAAAACACTGGTCTAACAAAACATGTGTTACCTCATTCAGGCTAGAGTTAATACTGTCTGGCTGCTTGATAGGCTCTTTCTTGCAGCAGACAGACATTGAAAGAACATCCCGATGTCCTATCTAGCAGCAGCTGAACAATACAAGCTTTTGAAAAACAAGGGGCCAGTTGCAACATGAAAGGGAGGTAAATTAAATTTTCACATGTTAGAAGGAAATACCACAGGATATATTTATACAAATGTGTCTGAATAAAATCGGCAGCATCTGTTTGAAAAGCCGTCTCATTAGCTACCCCCACAGTTCCCGATGCAATTTGGCTGGACAAGCAGTAATGCTAAAAAAATTAAATTTTACCTTCCCATATCTGGATGCAAACGTTCCCGTGAGTAAGGAGTGAAAAATAATTATCGTCTCATCCAAATCCCACACAAACACACGCTGTGATGACAGACGGGGTGGAAAAAAGAAATACAGTTACATACTAAGCAATTGCAAGAATTTCTTCAGTCAGGAAATATGTCCTGTTGGACTAGAGTTTTTTTAAGATCTCAAAGCCATTTGGAGCACTGACCGTAGATTTTTTGTGAAAGCAGACAAAATGAAACATCAGAAATTTTGGAACTACGTGTATCCTGGTCATCCTGAGAGTCTGCTCTCCTAACAACCACAGAAATCCCCTGTTGCATGTCAAGTCAGGGGAACAAAATAGCAGACTTATAAAAAGTCCAAAGGAAAGAAAACATATACATATGAAGAATATTTTAAGATGTTGATAATATAGAAATCCAGCAATTATTTTGACAACCAATATTTATAGGCTCCAGTTATATTACTGATTTTATTCTGGCTCTTACAACTCACTAGTCTGATGGTGAGATTTGCTAACAGATGTTAATTGCTTATCTTTGCTGGATTTACTGAGGGAATATAAGTTAAAGTTATTACCTCAATCTCACTGTCAGCAGTAGGGGAAGGATCGTTGCTTCTTTTTGACCGGGCTCGTACTTTGCCATCTGACCCTCTGTGATGTCTGTCTGTCTCTATATCTTTTGCTGGTGTTGTTGAATATTCCCCTATTATGAAAAAAGAAATTCCATCGTAAACTTAAATTTTGCACTGTATTGTTATAATTAAAGCATGAAACCTTTTAATGGAGAGCATCAGAAACACTGTGAAAACACCACCAGAAAATCTTACTCTTTTCATGTCAATACCTGTCATTATTAGAGAAACAACTTTTAACTCCTAAGATTTGTTAAAACAATTTCAAAAATCACCAAGACTGTATATATAACATTTTAAAACGGACGTGTCACTTCAAAAACATCACATTTTTCATTGGAAAAAAATCAGCTTTTTGAATTTTACCCCCTCTGCTTTTCAAGAGAAAAATTAGAAAGGCAATGCAAAAGGAAACCAAGACCAATTCGACTTCTGATTTTTTTTTTTAAATTTGATGAATGCTCATGATTAAAAATATACTTTCAACATCAACTTTTATTTAAAAATACAGAACTAGCCTGTTTAGCCATATTCTATTTCACAGAGGATAGTATTTTAAAAATTACTGAGAAGAGATAATCAAAAGTGAACTTCCCTTGTATAAAGTATCTATGTTGATTGGCTTAAGTTTCATAAACCTGTCTGGATTTCACTTACCTTACATTACAAATCCTTTCCAAACATATTTTTCTTTTCACCTTGCTAAGTTGTGGCCTCTCCAGCTTCCTAGAATAACCATATTCTTCTTCAGAGATGCGTGGATTGTGCCTAACAAGCCTTTTTGAAATCACCCTTTCTCAAAAAGGCTGAGATAACATTCAAGGAACAGAAAATCCTCCAACTGCTTGTAGAGCAATCTGTGATCACTTCTTTTTAAAAACCAATATTAGTTTATTTTTCTTTTAGAGCAACCACAGATGTTCAGATTTGTCTCATAAGTCAGCAGACCTACAATGGGCGTATACTGTTATCATCCACAAATTATGTGGCGTTTTATATAAATGTTATTGCATGCCAATGAAAACATTAGTAGGGAAGTGATAGCTGAAGATTGCACTTGAACAGTGCATTGGAGGATCATAATCTGTCAGTAATTCCATAAACCATTTAAGTTTTAAAAATTAAGCACTCAGGCCACAAATTTTGAAGCCTTTTTGTGTGGAATCCATCTTGAACTTTCAACTTAGACAAACAGTACGTGTTGATTTTTTAAAGAGGGACTTTCTCTTGATGTACTTATTTATGAATGCATATATTACATGTTGTTGTAAGAGGTGAACATAAACTCTCACAGAGACACAGGCTAAAAAGTCATCAGACAATCAGGAAACTCTGGGGCTTTTTCAGAGCACGGCCGCCTGTTTTGAACTTACTGCTACCCATGTTAGCCCTCAGTAGCGATGTGGGTTTTGTATATAATTGTTTTATCTTTCTGTACTACCTTTAGAGGATACCTTTATGTACTACCTTGCACACTCATGAAAACGACACAGGGTGGTTTTAGAGACCTTGGATGTTCTAATCTGTTCCCAAAACCCTGCGTTGCACCGTGTAAGCAGAACTGTTAAGTACTAGGAAATCTGATTTATCCATGTATCTTAAAAAATTCCAACACCAAGGTTACAGGTGGCTAAGACTGCCAAACTGAAAACAGAAGAGATGTACCTACCAGACAGCGATTCTGTGCTCTGACTGGTGATATTGTGAGAAGACTCCTGCAGAGAGTAAGTGGAGGTTGGGATGGCTGAGGGGCTGATGCTGTTTGTAGACACATAAGGAGAGTTGTAGGAGGAGCTGTAATACTGTGAGTACTGGCTTTGAGGGAAGCTTGGATACGATGAATATTCCTTTGAGGAAAAAAGAAACATCTAACTTCTGTGTATCTGGTTTTATCTCATAAATGAATAAGGCAATACAAAGTCAGTATTATCTATGCATGAAGCAAGTCATGGCTCAGGAATATTTCACTGAACAACCATATTTCATTCACTTACAAAAGTATATTTCTGCTTCTTCCAAATATATTCCTGTTTTATTAGGATCAACTAATCAACAAGAGGTCAGAAATCAGGCAAATGCTTTTTTCTGTAGGATTTTAGTTATCAGCACTGACACATTGTGTATTACAGAGATCACTGATTTCATATAGGAAATTAAGTAGGGGAGCTTATTGAAAAGGGCCATGATGGAACACGTAGTCTCTGTGAACAACAAAATGTCTGAGAAATTACAAGAACAGAATGAATAATGGGGTGAGGGGAGGAGTAAAACAGGCTGCATTCTCCCATCACCAGCAACATTTTCTGATCAGCTGTTAGAATAGGTTACAAAAATGAAGGGGGGGGGAAGTAACCATTGTTTCTCAACGTTCACAGTTGAGATCATCCAACTATCTCAGCAAAAACTAAATGCCTGAGTGATCTTCTCAACAGAAAAATGAACTAAAAATTCAAGGTGCAAGGGACCTTGGGGAGCTGAGGTATCACAAAAGCCTTTATCTTGATTTTAAGGCTCTTAAACTTCATCCCATTATCCCCATGTGTTTTGTTTTTTTTTGTGACAAGCAGGACACTGGAACAGATTAGAAAACTTCTCTCTGAACAATTAAAACATAAAAGGTTGAATTTGTTTCTTTTTGTTTTAATTGCAACTCCTGCTCTTGTCCACCTATTTGCTTTTTCAGATAGAGAACTATATTCATGCTCTAGGGATTGTCTTTCAGCAAAAGGTTTTTATTTCCTCAGAAATGCTAAATAGTCTCTGGAATTAAATAAAATTAAATAATAAATAGTTTTTAGAAAGACTAAAAGCACTTTCCTCCTTAACTGCTTACATCTTTGTCTGTGACACAGCTATTTCATTAACTTTCAGTCACCAGGGAGCTCTCAAGAACAAAGACTCAAAATTGTCCTAATAAAAATTAAACTGAAAAAAAAGAGAGAATTTCATTGTTTTCTCTTAAAGAATATCACAAAATAATGAAAAGAGACCAATTATTTTGCCCCTTTTTAGATAACCTCCATAATTCAATCAAATGCACTTCTATCAGCATTTACTGACCATGTTTTTAGCCAAAACTGAAGTAATAAAGAAATTGCCCACTGTTGTCATTAAAAATACAAGTCCACAATCACCTTACAAACAAGGAATTGAAATTACTGGCCAACCAAAACACATTTTCTGGCACAGACTCATTTGTTTAGTCCAATCAAGAAGAGCCAGTTGCTACTGAAAAACATCTGTCTTGTGTATATATGCATGCTGTTTATTTATACACACACATTTATCAAGGTATCTGAAGCATGAAACCCACAGACAGGTGTATTCTCAAAGAAGAAAGCGCACAGACAGCTCAGATGGCTCAATATTCATCAGGGCCTGCCAATGCCTCTTTCAAATTGTTTATATTTATTACACAGTGCCAAGACAGCAGATGGCAAGATCCTAGAAGCAGAGCTCTCTGTAGAGGATGGAAAACATATCTGAAAGTTGTAAGATGGCAGAGGAATGATGAAACTCTTGGCACTGCTACAGCAGCACAGCAGAGACTGCTGGGGCATCCTCCTCCCGCAAGGACTACACTCTGTGCAAACCTGTGTATTGATACACCTATCTTAAAATTAATCAAGATACTTAGAAGACCAGCAAACGCAGAGGCCACAGGAATAGAGCAAAACGATGTTGAGCACAACACATAGCAGCACCTTCCTTAAATATATGTAAACACCAGAATATCTCTGATCTACCAATCTTCCAAGTGTTTAAAGAAAGTAACAAGGTTGCCAATAATAAATGCTGAACCATACCTGATGCACAGCACTGAATCCTGCAGAATTTGTCAGGCCATTGGCTCCCTGGTAAATCCCTGTTGTGCCTAAAGGAAAGAATACCACAGTTATAAAACACACCAGCAATCAAAGTAACAGGATATATTCATATAAATAATTTCCAACGGGAAGTAAAGTACCTGCTCACTAGAAAAAAGCGTATCGTAAATCCTGACAAATAAAGGCTGAAAAGATTTAGGGCTATTACTGAGGTCTGCTTACTGAAAGGCATTCAAAGACAACCATTACATATACTAAAACAAACACCTATGGAACTGGGAAACAAAGCTGGAAAACAAGAATTCAACTCAAATTTTAAAGTCAGTTACTTCTTTTTCCAATAAATAATGGGAGAGTATTTTTTATCATCTTCTCCTGTAAGAAAACCCCTCAGATTACATATACAACCACACACACACTTTCAGCATAGGTGTGTCCTGGAATCTGTCCTAATGGACCAGGTACCTGGGAATTTTTAGAAGACACTGAAAATTTGTTCCCTGGCACTGATATCCCAAACATAAGAACGATATTGGTGAGAACAGCAGAGAAAAAAACCTTTGCTTCATCCTGGGATATAAGGAAAAGAAAGGATGGACAGGTGAGTTTTACATGGTTCTGTTACAAATGAAGCAGCTGATGTCCATCGAGGCCTCCTTAGCTAGAGGAAGCATTACCACAAAAAATTTATGGGTGGAGAAGTAAAGGTTCAGTGAAGATCTACACGGACAGTCCTCCTTTGCCTCCCACCAGGAAAGTGGCAGAAGAGCTGCAATCATCCCATCCCCTGGATCCTGCAGCCCTGGCAAGTTCTAGCCTTAAGTACAGTCTATGCTGTTTTCTATTCCAAAATTTTCCATTTCACATGGGTGGAGAACTTCCTCTTGAGTTTGTGCAGTTTGATGAGAATCTATACCAAAAGTTGTTTTCCAGTGTTTTGCAACAATGCTTGCTTCAAAGGCTGGCTGTTCATGTACAGGAGGCAAAAGCTGGACTACGTCATATTCCATCCTAATGGAAGGCAATGGGCTCCAAAGAGCACTTGTATCCACTATTTCCACCATGAAAGAGGTATGATTTGGTGCTGCGTGGCCACAGTGGGCTCTTGTCTGGGCTTCATTTTGTCACCTCGATATAACATCAGACTGAGCCCTAATCAGGCACTCAGCCTTTTTTTCTTATCTGGTTTCTTACTATGTGAATGGCTTTGAGCAATGCTGTTTTAACCATGTGACTCACTGCATGTCTTCATGGGGCAACCTTTCTCCAAAGATCCACTTGCTTGTTTTTATTTTAAGATACTAGATTAGCTAGGGAATGGACAGCTGAACAAACTCCACTCTGCCAAGCGCAACTACAAAGCACATGTAGCGAGAAATAAATCTCAAGCCAAAAAGAAACAAGAGGGAGGACTCTGCCCTCCAGAACTAATTCACTGCCACATGTAGTCTTTAAAAAGAAAAGGATAGAGAGGGAGAAAAGAGGATGCAGGCAACTGCTAGGTACCTGGAGGCCTGGGTCTCCCCAGCCCCCGGATATGCCAGCTGGGGAGCTGAGCCAGCACAGGTGTGTTCAGGTGATGCCTCCTCCTGGCATTCACCCCTTGGAGGCAACTCTGGGTCGATCAGTATCCAATCCCTCCTCTCCCCAACAACTGATATGGGGAGACTGCCCAGAGCAGCATCCCGAAGACGGCAATGCATTCAGCTATTGACATTTCCCCATCTCCCGCCCATGCTAGGCTTTGCTTTTCTGCAGTTTTTCAAAAAGTCACGAGTATGCAGCAGGATGAATATATTCCTGTGGTAACTAAGCATTTCTCACCACGGAGAAGGGGAGTAATAGAGCCTCAGCGCTTACAGGCAAAAACAACTTTCACAGAACACAAAACAGCTCTTGTACACCAGAGCTCAAAACAATACAGGGGGGAATTTTTGATCTTCCTAAACTGTCATTTAAAAACAATCCATCATCCTTTATTAAAGCTGTCAAGAGGGGAATGAGTTACCTCAAGGGACTCACGCTTTATGTGTAAATTGTGATGAGAACATGTTTATCGCTGTGCTACCTGCACATGGTATCATAGCTTCCTGGTTTCCAAACAGAGAGAATTACAAAAAGATAGAGAGATGTGCACAATCGGAATGAACTTACTCTGAACTTTGCACCAGCTGTGCAAAATGAGTGTGTCAATGCACACGCAGGGTGGGTAGGTGAGCCGACAGAAGAGGGTTGCAAGGTTGAGGTGAGAGGATGGGGCTCCATGTCTTCCCACAGCACACTGTGACAAGACCCAATGTGGTGGATTTTACACTGTGGTTTTCTAGAATATATTTTTGCCATTTTAGCTGGGCTACCCCAGGTCCAAGTTCAGGTGTCGATACAGGCTGTTGCAGTCTGGCTCCCTCTGTCCAGGGGATTTTCCAAAGGAAGGGCTATGGTGGAGAGACAGAAACTAAACTTCTTGGTTTTTTACCTACATATTTAAATACCTGTGAAAGTATTTAAGACTGGTATTTCCTATAACCTGGAAACAGATTTTGGCAACTCAGGTTTTTTACTTATTCTGGCCTCTGTCATTGTATCCTGACCAAGTAGGAGTATCATTTGAGCACAGTTTGTCTAAACTGAGATCAAACACAACTCTCTCTTTCTGCTCCTACAGCACTGCATTAGGAGAATACAACACACACACACTCCCGCTCCCTGGGGTGTACCTTGAGAGCTGCTAAGCTCAGTATCACTTGGCAGCTCAGTATTGTTATAGCAGAATAGTTACAGATAAGGACTCTTGAGACAACCAACCAACCAAAGCTAGTAAAAACTTGGCATTTCTTCCCAGCTGACCAAGGATGAAAAGCTGGGAGAAAAACAATCCATTATCTGCATGAAAAAGAAAGCTCTTGAAGATTCAGGTTCAGAAATACTTAATTTCAACATCAACCTCTGTCTTGCAGACTACAGCTGTTTCATGGGGACTACTATACCTCAGTCCCTATTCCACTTTACAGGCCCTCTAGACTGGAGAGACCACGTTTTCAATGAGGCACAATCAGTTCAAATGGAAGGAAAACAAACAAGCACCGCAGGCAACGAAGACAAGGATAAACCTCTCTCTTCATGAGCAGAGAATGAGGCCTGTTAGTTACACTTTCTGTGAGTAGCCTTGTGGAACTCAGCCATTCAGAACACATATCAGAACTGGCTCCAAATGTTTGCTTTTCCTCCCTAAGTTGTTGATAAGAAATAAACACTTCCATAATAAAATGAATTCTGCCACGTGCAATTTCAGTTTTGCATCAGTAAATTTTACAGTCAAGAAATGCTGGAAAATTACCAACAGACCTTGCATACTGGCATTATCAATTTAGCCCTATTCATCATGTAACTATTTTTGTCAAATGCTTTCTCAGGTAATAACACTTCTTGTAATACTCAGAGATAGACTGGAATGAGATTAGAAAGTGGTGCTTATGTGGAACGGGGCACACCTAGGAAGCGTCTTGGTAAGCAATGTACAGGAATGCACGA